AATATGACAACAAGGATGATGATAATAGACCGAATAATGTAAATATTGTTGTACTTGTTTGATTTTTGGTATCTCCAATATGTAATTTGCATTTTGGGCTGTTCCTTTTGCTGATAACCATATATTCTGTCTTTTGGCAGTTGTTCTTTAGTCCTTTCTACTCGTTTTCCTTTACTATTGTCTATAGGAGTTCTTATAGTTTCCTTGCTGCGTCTGCTAGAAACATTATTTCGCCTGCTAGAAACATTATTTCGCCTGCTAGAAACATTATTTCGCCTGCTAGAAACATTATTTCGCCTGCATGTTGTTAAGATTGTGGCCGCCGGTAATGAATCCAGTTTGGATTTCTAATTTTCTCAGAATCGCCTCAATGTATCTGTTGAATAAATCCGGCGAGAAGGCTCATCCTTATCATACAATCCTTTCTATTTTTGTGTATTTTCTGAATTCAGTTTCTCTGTGTAAACTGGCGATTTGATTCCGGTCTACAGTTGTAAGTGGATAATTGCAAATATGTCTTCATCTTTTCTCGACAGGTGAAAGCGATAAAGACGAAAGTCAGGACGAAAAGTGGTAGAACTCTGGAGAAAATTGTCTACGTCAACAAAGAAGACTACGAAGCGATCAAAGCGGGAAAGAAAGATCCGGTGAAGATTCTCACTGAATATTTCAAAGACGAAGAATTGGAAGTGACTGGCTGGGAAGAGGCGAAAATGAAGACTATCAAAGCTTTCGTTAGAACCAAGAGTGGTCGTGTTGTTACAAAAGTAAGTAAACTATGATTCTAATATCGAAGACGGTTTTTCTCTCTCTTTATCATTATATGTAAATAAAACCTGAATTTGAATGTGGCGCGCGAACTAGATGTAGTTGTACATTGCTCCTTTAGGTGACACGAGTCGACACGATTCTGAGCCAGTCCTTCATATGGTGTGTTTCTGAATATTTTGGATACGCAGGTGGATATTTGCGCATAAGTTAATGCAATAAACTCGACTGGAATTCGAACTTAGTTCCTCGATTTCTCATTCCAAGCCATGGTCCATTACACCATCCATACATACGAGCAATGAGAAAGTTTTAAGGAGGATATAAGAAGAACGTAAATTGTATTAAAAACATTAAGCTGATTTAAAATCATTTCGCTTATTATTGAAATAATAAGCGAAACTGATCCCAATTTAACTGCCCTAAATTTGGCAACATACACGGCAAGATCAGTAATAAAATTATTGCTAAAGTAAGTTTAAACCATTGAAAACAAATAAATGGTAAACAAAGATAGAAAAAGAGATTTAAATTATAAAAAAACAACTTATTTTTAGAAATATCAAAAGAAATAAAAGTAAAATTCAGGAAATTATTAAAAATAAAGCGTAAAATATAAAACGACATACCAACAACAAAGGAGACACTAAAGCAATGTTTCCAGCTAAAAACACAGAGAAAAAAAAGATATGAGGAGAAAATTTTACAACAGAGACATTTTTCAAATTGTACAAAAGAAATTGGTGATATATCCCAAAGGTCAAAACGCTTTCGTGCTGCATGCTGCTTTTGCAGAATGAAAAAAAAAAAGAAGAAAAAAGAAAGAAAAATGCTTCACCACTGAATGAGGTCAATGAGTTCATGTAAATGAGCTTCTGCTAACCAATCATGATTCAAGCTTCAGTGAGTGGAAGCTAAGCATCGTAGAGCCAGGTCAGTACTTAGATGGGGGACCGCTTGGGAAGACCTGGTACTGTAAGCCCCCAAAGTCCAACCCTTACCTCACAGTCGATGGGGGGGGGGATAAACGGTAGTGTCAGAGCTATGCCGCCCGGAACTTCGTTCCTGGTAGGGCCACCCAAGGCGGACAGGTCTGACACACGCCGGCTAACAAGGGCTCTGGTGAAAATCCAAGGAGCGACTGCATCGGTAACCGGCGGCTTCTGGTCGTTCCTGTCTCTGCGTCTGTGGGAATCCCGCGGCAAGCAAGAACGTTATCCGAGTAGGCCTGGGTACCCTACTTCTGTAATTTATCCCAAGAATCTTCTTCTCATAACAGGAAGAAGCCGGCTCAATCCGCCCAGGGTGAATGCCGCATCAGTACAGTACAGTAGTAGAGTGTAATGCATTGCACAGCAAAAAAAATATGCTAATCCATTTCTCATCTCCACAAATTGAAAACCTGATAAAGGTCCATGGAACTGCTATAAAAGCAATTGACTACAATCGGAGATATTTGCGAGGAAGCTGCGTATGTTTACGTGGACATTTAGACGTTATGAATTTTTTATGAATATATATATATATATATAAAAGTGAACACTGAAGTCAACACTTAGAGGTGACTGTTGACCATGTTTGCCGTAGTCTTTGAATATAGAATCCAGTGAAGTACGTAATGTGTTCAATGTCAGAGTTTGGCAGTGAAGATTCGGAGAAAGTAGCAGCTGTTAAGTAATTCTTTAAGTCTTCGATATCAGAGGTTGACAGTGAAGATATTTTGGGAGAAAAAACAAAATGGCTGCCTTTATACACTTCGGGTTGAATATTTTGAGCTTTCTGATTGGTTAACCCTTCTATTGCTGATAGCTCATTTTGGTTGGCTCACTAGTACAAACATGTATCCAAAAAACTGTAACAGTGACAGGCTCTTTCATGCTAGACGCAATCGTGGCCTGACGATTGCGTCTAGCATGAAACAGCCTGTCGCCTCTAAGTGTTGACTTCGATGTTCACTTTTATATTTACATACACTCTATCTCTGATATTGGGAACTTAAATATATAAATATAGCACATCTTAAGAGTATATTTCTTATACACACACACACACACACACACACACACACACACACACACACACACACACACACATATATATATATATATATATATATATATATATATATATATATTGACCATGTTCACCATAGTCTATGAATATAGAATACAGCGCAGTACGTAATCTGTTCAATGAAACAACGTTAAAGATTAATACTCTCGAGTCAGATATTTTACTGAATCTGACTTCATCGCCAATACCACCAGCAGCTGTTCCGTAATTCTTCAGCCTTCGATATCAAAGGCTGGCAGTGCATATTTGGGAAAAACATGGCCGCCTTTATACACGTCGCTTTGAATATTTTGAGCCTTCTGTTTGGTTAACCCTTCTATTGGTGAACTATAAAATGAGTCAGCTCATTCTGGCTGGCTCACTAGTACACCAGGGTACCCAAAATTCCAACAATATATATATATATATATATATATTAATCAATTCACCCCAAGTAAAGCGATAATGCTATTAAGACGAAATGGGGCTACTGGGACTGAAAGAGAAAGAGAAGACATTAGGAAAAGGGACCGGAAATCCAATCCTAAGCAGGAAACAAAGAATAAACCTCTACTCCTGTTCAGGGAAGGCATGTGAACGGGATTATAGGCGAACCTATCTACTCCTATTTAAGAAAAATAGTAAATAAAATTTCAGAGTTTAGGCTTAGATGTTAGAAGTATAAAGTGGAAGTAGACTTTAGAAGGAACTGGAAATCCAATCCTAAAGAGAAGAGAAAGTTCTAACCTCTACTCCTGATCAAAAGACCGAGGAAGAGTGAGAACCGGACGATAGGCGAACGAATCTACTCCTATTAAGCTGTTCAGAATATCAATAATGATACTGATGATGATGATAATAATAATGATACTGATGAGGATAATAATGGTAATGATGATAATAATAATAATCATGATGTTGATAATAATGATGGTAATAATGATGATGATGTTGATTATAATGAAGATGATGAGGATAATAATGATGATGATGATAATAATGATGATAATGATGATAATAATAATAATGATAATAGTAATGATGGTGTTGATAATAATGATGATGATAATATGGAGGCTGATGATAATAATGATAATAATAATAATAATGACAATAATAATGATACTGATGATGATAATAGGGATAAAATAAGGAAAATTACAATAATTATGATGTTGACAAGAATAGTAATAATAATAATGATGATGAGGGCGATAAAAATGACAATAATAATGATGGCGATAATAATAATAATAATAATAATAATAATAATAATAATAATAATAATGCAGACCCTGTACTTGTTGAGGCCATTCACCGCTTACTGTCCTGCTTGTTTAATCCTGATTTTGATGCGATTTTTTTACTTCAAACGTTAATTGTAGTGGATACCCGTTTAACGAGAAAGAGCTCTGGTAGAAAGAGCCATTCTCTAATCCCCCACCCGACCATGTTGTGGGCATAATTATATCCGTGATATAATAACACCGTAGTTCACGGACGTAAACGAATGGCTGAAAGGAAAAGGAATGACAAACATGATTTCTTCTCAGAGAGACTTTTATATCACAAACGCATACACAAATCTATTAATATAGATATTAGTTTGGAGCGTACAAAGGCCGAAACTTCATGAATTTGGCAACAAAGATGAGGACAATAGTCCGAAAAATGTAAATATTGTAAAAAAAAAAAAAAAAAAAAAAAACAACTTTTCATAGATATGTTAGGGAATATATACCAGTTAAAAAATATCATAATATAAGTAAATTTAGGGATCTCAACAAAGAAATTGAAAATAATAATAATAATCAAAAAGCTGTCAAATGTGTCACATGGGAACATCAACAATCCCTGTTGTAGTTGGAGCCCTAGGATTGGTTGGAAAAGATTGCAGTAGACTAATTGAAGGGATTCCTGGAAGTCCATGCCTCAAAGAAATACAAAAAATTGTTCGCACAAGTACATCCCACACTTTACGAAGGGCTTTATCTATGTAAAATATTTTTTTTTGTTTTGTCAGTGGAAAGTGTCATGATGCCATTTCTAACCTTATGTCCCTGGGCGGGACCCGGAAAGAAATGTGTAAACGCCAGAAATCAAAGGAAATAATAATAATAATAATAATAATAATATTTTATTTGCAGGTCGTTCAAATATCGGAAGATGATTATAACGCGATGCTAAAAGACAATGTGGATCCATCTAGTCGCCTCAAGCAATATTTAAATTTGGAAGAAGGAGAAACCTTGTCGGACTGGACGAGCGCTGAACCCCCCAAAGCAATCACAACGAAAATTCGTACAAAGAGTGGACGGATAATCGAGAAAACAGTTCTTGTTTCTGCTGAAGATTACGATAAACTGAAACAGTCAGGGGCCGACGTATCGCAGATCCTCAGCCAATATATCTCAGCGGAGGAAGGAAACATCGAAAGTTGGGAAAAAGATTCCAAACCTTCAATGAGAATGATCAAAACAACAGTGAGGACTAAAAGTGGTCGGCTGTTGGAAAAAGAGATTCTGATGGACGAGGAAGAATACCAGAAGTTTTTGGAGGCCGATCAGAATCCTAACTTTCTGAAGAGATTTATCGATCTAAAAGAAGGGGAAGAAATTAAAAGTTGGCAAAAAGAGGAATCCGTTTATTCAGTGTCATCCGATGAAGAGAATTTCAAGGCCGGTCAGTTTGTGATTAATTTTCTTATAATTTTCTTTTCTGATTGATTTCGCATTACATTGTGATTTTCTAAAATAAAATTCAAATAATTACGGTGTTTGGAAAGTAATGACGTTTTCACAGAACAGATATAAAAAAAAAGTACATTAAATATTTATATAGTATTCGGAAAAATAATGATGTTTTTAAAAACCACTTAGAAATATCCTATTATAATTGTGCTTGTCCCGCATTTCTTTAGTTCTCACGACCGTTATGCCCTGCCAATACCTCATAAATAATGGACTAATCCGTTTTGATCGTGTGGAAAGAGGAGACAAGTCACTAATGATTTCAGAGAGAAAAAGAGAAAGAGAGAGTGAGGGAGAGGGAGAGTTGGGTGTAGAAGTGTTTAAAGTTTCCTGTCAATCCTTAATAAATAATGGACTATTCCGTTTTGATCGCATGGAAAGGGGGGAAAAGACACTACATGGGTTCAGTGAGAAAATGAATGAAGAAAGAAAGAAGGAAAGAAAGAAAGAAGGAAGGGAAGAGAGAAGTGTTTAACGTCTGTTTCAGTGAAATGGACAAAGTTGTCAATTCATTTCATTTATACCCTCTTACTTCTTAAAAAAACGACCAGCATTCATATTTATGATTGTTATTGCAATATTTTGTTAAAGTTGTTAAGCTCAAATATTTAACGATGCGATAGGGAAATTTCTACAGATATTTTATTGTCGTAGAAGTCGCCATGAGCTTCTTATTCAATCATTAACTGAAGAATTAAGATTCATGGGAAAATTCAAATAGGAAAACCGTGAAATTTTAATGAGTCTTTCTAGTGTAAATGAAAATTTATTTAAATACCATGGTGCTCGGAAAGTGATGACGTTTTACCATACTGGATATAAAAACAATTTTAAGTCGTATTTATTTGAATATTAAAAGGTATTCGAAGGGAAACTACACTTTGCCCAAAAATGACATATAAATTCTTATAGAAGAAACAGTTATTCAAATATTACATTTGGTAATCCTTTCCACATGTGTGGCGTCCGTCGGTCTCGAGAGACCCCCTGGATCTGCGCTCAAACAGTTATGCCTCATATGTTGATGGTGGCACAGAATTTGTTATGGCTGTACAGGTCCAAGCAGGACTGATAGTCTCGACTTCAATGAATTTATGTGAAAACGCTCCAACCCCGATGTCACCGTATTGTTTTCTTTCCGTCAAGCAATCATGTCCCGTGGAAGCAAGACTTCGTTTCTCCTCTCCTCGCTCCAGCCCTCGGCTGTAAATCGCGTCTCCAGCATGGGCGATCGTTGGCTACGCCTTCCCACCTCTCGATGTCCATGTCCATCGCCCTCATGTCCCTTTTGCAGATGTTCTTAAAGCGAATACGATTGTCTGCCTCGTGCCCTCTGCACTCTTGCCGGTGTCCAGTTCCCTATACAGAAGGACCTTCGGAATCTTCCCATCCGGCATACGGTGTACATGTACAAGCCAGTGGAGCCGGCGCTGTTGAAGAAGTGTGTATAGGCTGGGTATCTGGGCACGGGTGAGAACTACGGTATAGGTGACCCGGTCGGACCAATTGATACCCAGAATGCGTCTCAGACAACGAAGATGAAAAGCGTTGAGGCGTCAATCCAGTCTGGGGCAGAGGATCCAAGTCTCGCTGACGTAGAGAAATAAAAAAAATATGAGAAGAAGATAAAAGACATATTCATCAACGGGCTGTATAAAATCCAAGGACGGAACGCTGATATTAGAGAAAGAGAAAATACTTCAGAGATGAAAGGAATATATAGGAGAACCCTTCCATGACGAAAGAGAACAACTGGCAATACACACACCAGTAATATTAAAAAACGAAGTCGAAGCTACACTGGCCAAATTGAACAGAAACAAAGCGGCAGGGCCAGATGGAATTGTAATAGCGATGCTAGCAGCCTTAGATGATTTCGGCATAGAGACAAGATCACAGAAATAATTAATGAAATATACAACAGACCTAAGCAGATTTATTTTAATGGCACTGCATAAGAAACCAGTCGCAAGCGAATGTGAACTTTACCAAACAATCAGCCTAATGAGCCACATAACAAAACTCATCATCCGTATGCTGATAAATAGAGCGTGCATCCGAATCAGACCGAAGATAGGACAAGAACAGTTGGGGTTCGTCAAAGATACAGGAACAAGGTACGCGAAATTTATGCTAAGAATGTTATCAGAAAAAGCAATAAAAATGCAGAAGGACGTGTACCTGTGTTTCATGGATTACGCAAAGGCGTTCGAGAAAGTACGCCACAAAGATCTGTTAGAGCTGATTAGCAACCTTGATATATTCGGAAAAGACATTAGAATAATCAAGAATCTATACTGGCAGCAAACCGCCAGCGAACGGATAGAAAATGAGTTCAGCAGATATACAGAAATAGAAAGGGGCGTAAGACAAGGATGTGTCTTCTCACCGGATTTATTAAACCTATACAGCGAGGCAAATTAGAAGTTCTACTAAGTTTCATTATTGGCGGCTATAATCTTAACAATATTAGATATGCAGATGGCACAGTGTTGATAGCAGAGACAGAAAAGAAACTAAAAAAGCTGCTACAGAAGTATCTGTCTATATTTCTGAGATGAGGTATTATGTACACACTTTACGTTATTCGATTTATTGTCCTCATCTTTGTTGCCATATTTATCACAACGTCTCGGCCGTTGTACGCTCCGGCATTCATCATGTGGTTGGAATGTCGAACTGAACCCTTTATTTCGCTCAATGGAGTAGACTGTTCTAGTTCCACGTGTCATGTCTAATGGATGTCAGTTATTAGTTATCTCCTGTTAATTCCCCTCTCCATCTCCACCGCCTTAACCAGGTATTGAACTCACACTGTTAGGGTCCTGTCACTAGATATAACCAACGCCTTTATCACAGTTTTTTTGGGCTGCAGCCATGTATCCAGGGTAGTTGTTACATTGTAGGGTACAACTTATACTGACCAATTCTTTATCTAATGTCTCTGGGTCGCCATTTATGACTTTTGCTTGGGGTTGTAAACAGCGGACGATCCCTTTCTTTACGCTGTATGGATGGTGGGAGTTGAAATTGAGGTACTGTCCAGTGAATGTCTGTTCGAGATATTAGAACATCCAGGAATGGGAGTGTGTTGTTACTCTCTTTCTCCATCGTGAACTGTATCGAAGGATTATTGAGTTAACCAGGTATTGAACTCACACTCCTTGGGTCCTGTCACTGGATCTAACTAACGCCTTTATCCACTGTGCCATGTGTCCTCAAGTGACTCCTACAGAAGGCAGCAAAGGAAAGCAAGAAGAAAGGACTAAAGGGAAGCTGTTCGAAGCCTTGGTCCATTACGTTGGTCTTCTTCAGACTGATAGATCAAGGAGTCACTCTTCCCAGTCTTTTAAAAAATAATCATTGCAGTGTTTTACCAACTCTGCATAATCTGTGAACTGCATATCTTTAATGAGTAACTCACGGATTTTAAATTTCGGTTTCACTCCTTTATATAAGCAACGTAAAATAATCTGTTAACGTTCTGATTCACTGATTAAATGGCGTCACTTTATATTTTTAAACGTTTTTTCATCGTAAATATCATTGTGGCCAATGGTACCCAGGCAATTAGCATCCAATTACTTGATAGTAATCTCTTTCTGAATGCTCTAATAATATCTACAATAATGATTTTGAAATCACTATTTATTAGGAAATAAGTTACGTAACTTCCGGTATTTATTTATTTTAGAGAAATATAGGCTGAATACACAGATGAAAATCGTTTTTTCGCGGGAATCTTTTGCACAAAATGTTTATTCTTTAATTAAAATTTGGTATCGTTTTCTTTTTTTCTTTTTTTTTTTTTTGTAGCCCAATCAGGCCAATTTGTGGTAGGAAAAGACGGTAGCCTTTACGAAGTCATCAAGGATTCCCTCACTGGAAAGATCTATAAAAAGTAAGTTTCGGAAATATTAACTCTCTCTCTCTCTCTCTCTCTCTCTCTCTCTATATATATATATATATATATATATATATATATATACAGGGTGATCGAAAAGTAAGTCCTTATTTTTGTATGAGTGGCCAGATCCAGGACTCCTGGCTTAACACACTATTACTTTTTTTCTTTGGGGTTGGTTAAAATAGGGAGTTACTTTTCAATCACCCTGTATATGTATATATATATATATATATATATATATATATATATATATATATATGTGTGTGTGTGTGTGTGTGTGTGTGTGCATGTGTGTGGGGTGACGGTTATAATTGTTCCAACGAGAGAAAAATGTATTTTTAAATATATATATTTTATTTTTATTCATACTAATATTTAAGTAAATACTCTGTTTTATAATAATCAGTATTAATAACATTTAATACCCGAAAAATATTTTATAGAAAATATTCATCCTCCGACAGGAATCGAACAAGTATCCTATACGGAACCGTGATATAGCCTGACGTGTCTTGACCGATTGAGCTACAGAGGAACGTTCGGTTAACAAGTTCGATTTTTAAAAACTACAATCTTCCTTGAATATCTTACGTACATTCATATCAGCTCAAAAATAATTGTCGGACTTTGTCCATTTCATTATATATATATATATATATATATATATGTTCTCATATATATATATATATATTCTCACATTTATTACACAGTGTTCTCATCTTTGTCGCCATATTTATTACAACGTTTCGGTCGTTGTGCGCTCCAGCCTTCTTCAGGTGGTTGGAATTAGAATATTAGAACATCCTGGAATGGGATGTGTTGTTACTCTCTTTCTCCATCGTGAATACCGTCTTTGTGAATTAAAGACGGTATTCCACTCAGGCCGATTGTTAGTTGCCAAGGCTCTGTGTGCCACCCTCTGAGTCGCTTCCTTGTAGATATAATTGACCCATTGATCGGAAAGTCTCCTTCATATGTCCGAAACTCCGCCCACTTCGTGGAAATAATCAAAGATGCTCCCATCCTATACAACCAGATGGTGAATTTTTTCACCAAGGTACCCACGGAGGAGGCACTTTCGGTAGTCAGAGACAGATTGGCCTCTGGCTCTTCCCTAGAAGAACAGACCAGTATTCCAATAGATAATCTGATGGAGATGTTGACTTTCTGAATGGGATCACACATATATCGACAGGATGAGGGCTTAGCAATGGGCTCGCTATTATCATCAGCAATGGCGAATATATACATGGAATACTTTGAGGAAATGACATTAAAATCTATATCTCTAAAGCCAACTCTATGGTTAAGGTACGTAGATGACACCTTCATACTCTGGCCACACCAGGAAGATGTTAAGGTTCTACTGGACCATGTGAACTCAATAAGACCTTTGATACAGTTCACAATGGAGAAAGAGAGTAACAACACACTCCCATACCTGGATGTTCTAATATCTCGAACAGAGCATGGGTTTAAGACATCCGTAAACCGACATTCACTGGGCATCCATACAGCGTAAAGAAAGGGATCGTCCGCTGCTTACAACACCGAGCAAAAGTCATAAGTGGCGACCCAGATACATTAGATAAAGTATTGGTCAGTATAAGTAGTACCCTACAATGTAACAACTCCCCTGGGTACATGGCTGCAGCCCCAAAAAACTGGGATAAAGGCGTTGGTTATATCCAGTGTCAGGACCCTATCAGTGTGAGTTCAATACCTGGTTAAGGTGGTGGAGAAGTTGGAGAGGGAAATTAACAGGAGATAACTGATAACTGACATCCATTAGACATGACACGTGAAACTAGAACAGTCTATCACAGTGAGCAAAATAAAGGGTTCATTTCGACATTCCAACCACCCGAAGAAGGCCGGACCGAACAACGGCCGAAACCTTGTAATAAATATGGCGACAAATATGCGGACAATAGTCCGAATAACGTAAATATTGTACATAATACCTCATCTCAGACGGATACATCTGGAATTAGTTTTTTTTATACCGTTCGACTCTTCTGATTGTTGTAAGTTATACAACTTATAATGCTGAAAGATAGATCTATTTAATAACACCATTGACTAAAATGAATACCGTTTTCATTAATTTTAGAGTATTTAACAATTTTAATGTAAAAATAATAAAATAATTTAAGAAATAACAAATAATTGCTTTAAAAATTCATTTTTCATCGAAATGTTTTTGCTTTCAGACAATATTATCCATATTCATAAAAGCACCTAAAAGCATTTGAAATTAAATAATATCTTTGTTTTATTGAGTTTTTTATGTTACAATTGAGAGCTGATTTTAAAGGTATAAAATAAAAAAAACAAAATACATGATTTGCTTTCCTGAAAACCTTGTGCTTTTAACTAATATAATCACTAAACTGAATAGTATTGAATTTTCTAGTTTTCATATGGTGGGGGGTAATATATATAAAAAAATATTTTTGCCATGAATTTGAAAAAGAAAACATATTTATAATAATTTCCATTATTTGTGAATAGTTTCTGAAAGTTTAATTAACATCCGACAATTATATTTACTTTTGAAAGATTTTTCAAATTAATGTCTGTCATACAAAAAAAAACAAAAAAAAAACTGCTAAAATTTTATGTTATTTAGTAGTTCCAGTG